TGGTGTCAGGTGTGGGGTTAACCTAACCTGCACGAGATCGCTACATACCGATGTTTTCCATTGAGAGAAGTGAAGCCCGGCGGCGCAGTATTATCACACGTCCGCCATGTTTTCGGTTGGCAAAACAATATTATTTTACACTATATAAAATAGTTGAACACACTGAATTATTAAATTAAACATTTTTCATTACGTTTAATAAAAATTCAATTTCATTACAAAATTGAGAATATTAATTTAAAATTGTACTATATATATTGATTATATTATACTCGTAATCAATGAGTATACAATAAATAAAATGACTTATTTAAACACACAAAACCAAAGCACTATACTTGCTATATTTGGTTTTAATTATTCTTTATATATATATATATATATACATATATATCAAATAAATAAAATATATAATGTTTATGTACTGATATACTGTAGTAGGGTTTGTTTTTCCAAGTAATCACAACCACACCTTGATTTATACTTACTAAAAATTGGTGTAAAGGGTAATTCCTATAAATATATTAGAAGAAAAAAATGATAAAAAAAAAAATAACGCAGTAAATTAGATTTAAAAAGTTTATTTAATCAAATTTTTACTGGTTATTAAATAATATTAGTTTTGTTAGTAAACGACGTTTACTAATAATTGTATTTGTTTTTGACTTAGCAACATAATGTAATCTAATTTTTAAATACTCATTACAAATCAATGAAACTAATTCTAATCTATGATTCTCCAAAAAACTATCATCTGGACAACTTTCATTCTCAAAAATATTGAAATTGTAAACATAATTTCTTGCATAAATAATTATTTTAGTTTTTAAAGAACACTTAAGAGAAACAAAATTACATGTTAATTCAAGAAGTTTTTTTTCTACAAATCTCACTATTTTTAGTACAGCATCAGAACATTTAACCAACCCTCCTCTATTCTTAAGGTTAACAAAAGTTGAATAAGCATTTGCTTGAAAATAATTATGCTCATTAAATTTTTCTAATAAATTTTCATAACAAGTTAAACAATTAAGCTTTATGAGAATTTTTCTTACAATAAAACCACATATATAATATAATATATTTTCTTTAATAACACCAAATCCATCATATTCGCTTGTTTGAATATCAGATAATATACTCTCCTCTTCTTTTTCAACATCTCCAGATTTTCTTTTGGACCAGCGGATTTCAAAAACACTTTCCTCGCAAGAACTATCAAAAGCTATACAGTTGGCGGTATATGATGAAGTCACAGAATTTTTCAATAGCATTTGTTTCATTGATGTTCTGAATTCCATTACATTAGGATTATTATTGTGACCAAAACGCTGTCTAATTTTTGAAAAGAATATTTCTAAGTGATCTTGTGAAAGCTTGTATGTTAAAAGGTACTTATAATGAATATCATCAATAAGTTGTTCAGAGATAGTAAAGACCGATTTAACGGCAACAGCAAATCCTATAACAAATATCATCAAATAAAAATTAAAAATGATTTCACATAATATTATTAAATAAAATTTTTCATGATTAAACACAATGTTATTTTTTTTAAAAACCAAAAATTATTCATTTAATAGGTTTAACTTTTTGGTAGTTAAATATTACTGGTGAATTATATGTGAATACTCGGTACATATGTAATTAACTAAAAGACTATTGTTCTCATCAACTTACCAATAATAAAAGTTTTACGTGGGGTATTAGAAATTGGTATACCATCTACATTAGTCAAACTCAGTAAATAATCCACTAATGGTATAATAGTTTTCTTCATAGTTTCGATTTCATTTTTGTACAAAGGTTTTTTATAACCTTTACCATAAGGATTTCGAGTGTTTAAGAAATCAAATATTCTATCCACAGTTCTGATAAATTTAATTGTTTCTGTACCTAAATTTAAAATAATGATGATTGATTAAAATTATTTAGGTTAACATTTAAAAGTTATAATTATGAATTACAGTTCTTAAAATCAAATTCATTCAAACTCTGCAAAAATTCTAAAGCATCAGCGACAGATGAGCTTAAAGTCTGGCTAGCTAGCTTAACTTTCATAACATTTTTCTGCCATTCTATATGTGTAGCAGTTAGTTTATTAGCTAAATTTAAGCCAATATTTTCTTGAGCTATAAATATATAAGCAAGCAAAGCAAGTTGAAGAATTTAACTAAGATTAATTAATAAAGCTGAATCATTTATTTAAATATTATTATAACATGCATTTTATGTATTATACATTAAAAATACATTAATATATTTATATATTTTATAAATTATTATTAATTACTTTTTTGTAGATTTTGTAAATATTTCCAGTCAATCACATTATCATTACATTTAAAATGTCTATACATTGATAAAGCATTTCGAGCAAGCTTAATGTTGTGGCTTGCATCAGGAACATAACACACCTATACATAATTTTAAATACTGCTGTAATTTTCTTTAGGTATAAATCCAAGTTAAATACCTTTCTTTCTATTCCTGGGACAGTAATGAACTCGACTATTTCAGAATAAGAGCCATTCATTTTACACCCTAATTGTGTCATTGTCGACAGATTAGTGGATGTTCCATCACATATTACCGACCATACACGTACACTGACTTCATTTGCCATAATTATAGCAGTTTGAACAAGCCCAGTTTGAACTGTTGCTGTGCTTTTAGCTTGAAGAAAATACCCAATAGGAAATTTCCACTTGCCATTTAAACATACTAACATAAACACAAGTGCTTCAGTGGCTAACGTTTATTGTGCTTCTACTTGAATATTACCAAAATCACAATAACCTAAGAACCTATCTTTACTAGCATCATAAATAAGTTTCTTATGTATGGCCATCGCATCAAACACCAAATTACAGTCAAGATCTTCAGAAGGAATATGTTTTTTAATAAACATAAAAACTTCTCGGAACAATCCAGGATCTGCATTAACAGATGATGTCCAATTAGTTAATGATGATGGATGAGGTAAACTTAATATTGATCTATGAAAAATGTTAAAAACATTAATGTTAGACATAAAAAATACTTGATTAATATTAAATATCCCTTTTTATATAAAAAAAATTGTTTCTAAGAAAAATGTAGTTACCGACAAAAATTGTACGCTTTAGGAGAATAAAAGTGCAATGTTAAAGCCAATTGTTTTATTTCTTTGGTATATCTCTTGCCAGTAGATTTATCACAGTTTTTGGTTTCATTTATAAATAAGTCTCTAAATGAACCTACCATATTAAAAATTCTTGTAAGTTTTAAGCTAGGTATACAAAAACCAATAAAATTAAAACTTACAATTAAAGTTGCTTAACATTAAATGTTGTTGTTCAGAATCAATATATCCTTTATTATTTAATTCTTTTAGTAAATTATCCAAACTGGTTATTTTTTTTTCTTTTCGCCGTAACTTTTGACGTAATATTTTAATTTCATGTTTCAATAAAAGTTCATTACAAGAAGAATGAGATGTTTGTACTTCTCTATCAACACTTTTAGGTAAAATACTGTGATTGTCAATTAATTCTAAATCAGCATTCTCATTACTAATTTTTGGATCAGTACTAGTACTAGGCTTATCTATAATATAAACACATTTTTAATTGGCTATAATAACTGTCTTTAACAATTAAAGTTATTGATTAGTTTTACCTTTAAAAGAGGGCAAATCCCTATTTTTAGGTGGGTTTCTAAGTTTCTTAGGGTTATGTTGATAATATACTGGAAACGATGGAAAAACTGAAGGGACGGCATTTACTTTTAATATTGGTCTGTTAGCACCAGGACGAATTTGGTAGTCATTATCAGTGAAGTGCACGCTACAAATACGGCTCCACTGATTTGGTATAAAGTTTTTCCTTTAAATTGCATCCGTCCACAGTTTAGTTGTTACCTCATTGTTTAAAGGAAAACTATAAATATGTATACGTTACAAATAAAAATGTAAGTTTTTATGTGTTTTTAAATCATATTATCTTGTTGCGTGCCGTCGTCCAATCGTAACGATGGTTAAGTTTTTAGGATAATACTTCAAATAAAAATACTCAAATATAATTTAACTGTTTATTTTAAGAATTTTTCTAAGTACAAAAACATTAATTAAGAAATGATCTGGCGTGAAGGTGCTTGCGACTGTACATGCAAACCACATCTAAATATTGGTCTATTCCCAACCCCCTTATATACTTAGGTCCCGTGGGGATCAAACGTGCCGCGCTGTGCGAAAGTTGTTTTCGATTATTACAAATATAAGATTTATTACCTTAGTGACCTTGTTAATATTACTATTCGCGCATCTCTCATATGCGTTTTTACTAATTGCAGTATTAAAAAATTTAGCTATGTTCGATGATGCCTTCGGGTTTTAATTATTCCTTTCTACATTGTTCACCGATGGTAATCATTTATTGGTAATTGTAAGGACCTACTTTTATGTATGTCCGAAACATCGTATTACCCTCTAATTAAATTAATAGTTTCTTTTTATTATTGCGAATACTTTATTTTTCATAATCATTTCCCGATCTCGATTTATGTGGTCTCGCCCATATTGTAAGAGTCGTAAGGACCTACATTTATGTATGTCCGCAACAATCTATATTTCATACGTACCGAAAAAAGTGAATTAAGGAATTGCTTTTATAACGGTTTGAACATCCGTACGCAACGCAAGATACAGGCATATTTATTTAATATTAGTAACTAAATAGTGTACAAAACAAAATAATAAATGATACCAAATAAATAATAAGTGCAGAAAAAGGAATGTTAAGGTTCACAGTCCGTTATAATTAATATTGTGATATATGGGGACAAATGCGTGAGCAGACATAACTGGCAGGGTAGTCATACATAACACGTTAACATTTAATTTTAACAAAATATTTAAATGAAGTAACTTCATTTAACTTAATAATTATATTTTTCCAATAATCTAATATTTTCCGTTTGCAGACGTGTCAAAGTGATCAAACATAATATGGTTATTTATTATTGTGATAATAATGAATATTTTGGTGTTAGGGGAAAGTTCGCAGAGTAGTCAAGTGCCTACCCTGACTACTCCGTGCGCACGCTTATGTATGGGGAATAGTGTTGATACAATATTTTGCCAACCCAAAACATGGCGGACAAATGATAACATAATCAATGCGTGCTTCAAGTGATATTGGGAGTTCGTCATCTAGTATAATATAGATACAACTAGTATGCAGTGATGTCAATTCTTCAGTACAAAATATTGTTCTAATAAAATAGTGAATAACTATTGTAATAATTAATAATTATAATCCTTAAAAGGAAAGTCGGGACTTTATGCTATTGCATTTGTTCAAAAATTAAATGGAATAATTCTGTTTTGTTACAAATGTATTTTGTGGTGTCTGAATTTGAAATTTAAAAGCTTTTCAAATTCATATTTTTATTAAAAGTTAAAATGCTTATTTATAAAAATGTAATTTCGTACAATTTACATAATAATATAATATATACAAAATAGTAGATGCCTACTGCTACAACATTAACATCTAATAATAAAAACAATTTATTACATTAAGTAGGTATTTAATATTTATAACATATATTAAATTTTATATTTTGTCTTGTTCCTCGTTGCGAAATAAAACCATTTTTGTAAATTTTTTCTTTATAGAAATGCTATTTTTTTTTCTTTTGACGCAGCAGCATGGTGAAAACGAATATTTAAGTATGTAAGAATAGCTAAACTTATTATTTGATCTCGGTGTGTATTAAATAATTGTTGGCCTTTACAATGGTTATTTAATTCGTTAAAAATATTTCGTTTTTGGTAAATTTTGTTTTTTATTTCATTAAACATTCTGTGTTTAATATTTGGTAAAAAAACATTGGAAGACCGAAAAGTTCTTTCTGCTTCTTGACATATTTCCACAACATCCTGACTGGGTTTTATTAATGCATTATTACTATATTTTCCTATTATTAATTTAAAATTGTGATTTGAACAATCAATCAAAAATGGATGACATGTATTACATGTTATTTTATTTTTTATTTTTTTCACTACAAAACCAGCAATATAACTTGTTACCTCATCTAAAAATGGTGTCAGTCTACTTAAAGATTGTATATAATCATGATCTTGTTCAGTTGTATTTAAATCCTTTTTAATATAATTATTTATGATACAATCTGGCCCTACGTTAACCACAGACATTTGGGTGCTATCAAGTATTGCAACACAATTACCATACTGTGAACCATTAATTTCATTATGGACTAACAATTTTTTATAAGCAGATTTAAATTGCTTACATGATGGGTTATTGTTAATTCCACCTCTTTGTCTTATTGAACTAAAAAATGTCTCTATATGGTCTTGAGACAATTTAAAAGACAATAAGTAAGCAAGAGAATATTTTTTTTGTAGATAAGTATACAATTTTAATACATTATCTAGTGCTTTTATAAGTCCAACAAAACCAGTTTTTCTACCAGATTCTACAACTTTTTTACCATTGGGCAACCGTAAATCTGATACATAATCATAAAACTTCTTGCTAAAATTTTCATATTTTTCAAATTGTTTTTCATCGAGTGCCAGGCAGTAGGGATTTTTAGAATATTACCATTATTCATTAGGAAACAAAATTCTGCTGTAGCATCAATATCCTTAAAATCATCACATCCTATAGATTTGCAAAATTTAAGACCATTTCCAACACTATTACTTAACACTTGTGTGGCCAACTTAACATTCATTTTCTCGTTATAATAGTATACATGTTTATTTGTCAATTTTGTTGCTGCTTTTAAGCCCTTGTTCTTTTCTTTGAAATACAACATTTTAATATGGTCCCAACTAATTTTTTCCCCTTCTTGAAATAGGCACCCCATATCTCCCAAAGTGTTTCTAATCAACTTAATCATATGGCAAGCATCATAAAAAATATATATAGGCTCATTATTGTAAGGATTTTCAAAGATAAAACTTAATTCATCATTTTTATCAAATGAAGCACCAAAATTTGAACACATTTTACCATTACTGTAGGCTCCATCAAAAGTAATAGAATGGACTTTGGCACCTGTATCACCCATGAGAATTAAACACTGTTTTAATAAATTATTTCTTTCCGTTCCATTAAGGCCTGCTACAAGAAAATAGCCTATTGGCATTTTCCAATGTCCATTAACTCCTACAGCCATAAAAACAAGTGCATTTTTTGCATGAACCTAGTTGTCATTCTCTGTGTCAATATTAGTACCCATATCAACAAAGCCATGCATTTTTGTTACATCCCAATCAATTTTTTTCTCTTATGCTCATCTCATCCAAAACAATATTACAAATAACAGTTTCATTCTTTGCTTTCTCCTGTATACAATTAAATGCTTTTTGAGTAAAACCTGGATCCCCATTCACAACTTTATACCATTTACTTATAGTTTTAGGATGTGGAAGTACATTTTTAAAACTCTTTCTAACAAAATTATAAGCTTTATTTGAGTAAAATTGTAAAGTTATGGCAAATTTCCTCATTTCTGGAGTAAATGGAAGCTTTTTACCCTTCATATTAAGTTCAACTAAAGAACGCAATGATTCTGAACCAATAGACTAAATAAAGGATTGAAATAAAAACCAAATTAAATTAAAATATATATTAAATACATTCTGAATGAACGTACTTGTATCTGTATTTAAATAAAATTTTAAAAGTATCTTTTACAAGACTGATAATTTACCTGCAAGTGAACAGATGCATTGTCAGTTAAAAATTGTTTCCGGTGTAAGGTTTGAACAAGATCATCATAAGTATTGAGTTTTTTTTTCAGTCTTTTAATTTGTTTTTTCAGGTTTTCATTTTGAATTTGTTTTTCTCTGTATTTGTTTTTTACCATGTCCAAATGTCTCTTTGCCTTTCTCGGGGTTCTAAAATGACTTGGTGATAAAACTCCAATTGAGTTGGCATTTAACACCTTACGCTTTATTGGACTTTGACAAAGGCTAGATGTACCATGATAGTCCAAAGGTTTAACATCTTAAATTAAATAATATTAATATATTCAGACTGTTATATTATTTATGAAAATAATGTTAGATAATAAATATATGCATACCTGTATTTGTATAAACTATGGGTTCAGCACATAGGCGTTTCATATGACTCGGAGAATCACTATAAGTATGGTCCAAAGGTTCAATATCTAAAATGAAATAATTTAAATTATAAATTTATAAAAAACTGATATGTAATGTACTAATGTATGCAAATAACGTTAATATTGAATTTATTAATTCATACTTGTACTTATAGATGCTAGGAATGGAACAGCATTATTTTTAAGGTATCCACTTGGTAAGTAATTTTCCGGCAAAAAATGATCATCACATATTTTGTCAGATGGCAAATACAATTGCATGTTACACAATCTTAACCACAATTATTTAAGATCTTCATTTTTAGGAAAACTAAAATAATATAACAACAAACATTTAATGAAAATTGAATAATATAATGTTCTATTATAAACTATTGTACTTACGAATGAAATGATTTTTCTGATCCCTTAGTAAACAATTTTTTACAAACAACACATATTCTTGTCATTGTTACAATAAGAAAACCAAAATATTTTACAATTTAACAGACAAGTATTGAAAGTTTAATTACAGAATATTATATAAAATAATAGTAGCCTATAATTGTAGTAGACGTAGGTACTAGGTTAATACTAAATAGTAAATATTTATGTTGACGATGATACTTTTGATAATACGAATATACGATACGAATCATACGATAATTAATATCGCAGTATATGTAAACACAACCTGGTTTGTTCTACACGCATGCGCAGAAGTAAGGAACAAGATGTACGGGCTTATACTCTGTTCAAAATAAGAAACGTAGACGGCGGCGGACAGATTTTTCTCCCACCGTGCGTCTATTTTATCGACGACGGCCGCTGACATACGACCGTTGTCGACGTATTAACGTTCGTTGTGGAATTCGGTCTCGTTGTGTTCCGACCGTTGTATGCTAAGCTGACGTATGGTAAATACGGCCCAACGTGCAACGCAGCGCCACGCCGTGCCGGTCCCGCGAAAAAATAGGAAACAATGCATTTTAAGTTAATTGTTCGCGTCACTGGTCAACAATAGAATGAGGCGACGCTTTCGCTGGTGACGGTGTCAAAGCTCGATAAGCGTAGTGAGGCCACGCCCATGCGCAGAAGTCGGCCATCGTCTACGTTTCTCATTTTGAACAGAGTATAGGTCAGTTCTCCTCATTGATAAGAGATAAAAATGAAGTTTCCAAATTCATTGATGCCAACGTCTAAAAGAAAAATTCTCTCCAATCCAACCTCTACAGTGTCATTAACATAATAACAAAAAAATCCCTGAATTTCAAATTTATTTATTTTCAAATTCAAATTTCAAAACCAATGTTTTTGAAAAAATTAAAAACCGGTCTGTTATTCCATATATGAATGATCACAAAATATTATAGCTTAAAACTTAATATAGTTAATAGTTCGTAATAAATTACATACGAGGCAAAAATAAATGATTGCGGGGTGTCGCGGCTAATGACAAGTTTTTATTTAAAAGTAAATTGTGTCTTTTATTGTGAGATTTTGAAGTTATTATAATCTAATTTGGTTTTAAACTATAAAATGTTTGTTTTGTCCTAGTAAATTGGGAGAATCAAATCCTAGTGTGTGTACTGAAGCGTTTGTGGTGATAAAACACTTTTGTAAAGTAACAAGATGTTTCTGTACTTATCCTGTACTCGTTATCGTGGTCACCAAAAGGAGAATTTAATAAGTTTTAACCGAAAAGTATCGATATTTACTCTTTGACGGCCTGAGACTCAATAATCGAAATATATCTGTTATATGTCAAGCCTTTGCGTGGCGTATACGACAGGTCATACTGTAAAATACTATAAGTAGATCTATGTGAAGAATATTCGTAAGGTCATCAGATGATCGACAAAACGCGTATGAAAATGTAAAATTTCTAATTGTTTGTCATATTTAAAAGAAAATTGTTAAAATAAATTAAATTTCTACTTTAATTATTCATATCTGCTTAGATTATTTATTTAGAGTATTTGTGATACAATATGTGATTGTTCAAGAAGTGGTGATGTGCTAATTGCAATAAAGCAATAAATAATAAATACATAGGTACTATTCTCGTATGTTGCCCTTACCTCCCTGTTCCGTAGAACATTTATTTGTTATTGTCAAAGTTAATTTCGTTTACTATATTTTAGGTAATGCTTATTTTCCTTCTCGCTCACCTATAACGTTATACAATAAAAAGTTCAATAATATTAATGATCTATTCATTTCCTATCCCTACGTTTAAAATATAATTTTATTAAGTGATTATAATACGCCAAACTTAAAATGGCAATTCACTTATCCTTCCTGTTCACCTAACTATTTAAATTTAAATCAATTATCAGTAGACTTTCTATCTAAAATTTCAGTTTTAAGTTTATCCCAATTCAATACTGTTTTAAATAAAAATAATACCATTCTTGATCTAGTTCTTTCTAATATTGATAATATTACAGTTTCTAAATTTACGACTCCTCTTGTTTCTTGTGATGTTCACCATCCATCTTTACTTATAATTATTCCTATTAATACTTATAAGCCTATTGATTATAATTTATTTATTTATGATTTTTACTCGTGTAATTACTCTGTTATAATTAAATGCTTAGGCTCAATAAGTTGGGTTGAAATATTTTCAAATCTTAATGTAAATTAAGTTACAAATTTATTTTATTCTATTATTTAAAAAATTATTGATATATTTGTTCCAAAAAAAAATAATAACTCGTCAAAAATATCCTATATGGTTTGGTTTTGTTCTAAAAAATTTAATATTTAAAAAGAAAATAGCTCATAAAATCTATAAAAACTGGTGCCATTAACGATTATAATAAATTCTCAAATTTACGTGTCCAGTGTAAAGCTCTCTCTAAATTAAATTACCAAAATTATTTAAAAAATAACCAGGAAGATTTTAAACATCAACCATCCAAATTTTGGAAATTTATTAATGAAAAACGCAAAAAAAAACATTTCTACCTGACTGTATGTATTTAAATAATTCTAAATTTAACTCTCCAAATTCTATTGTTGAAGCCTTTGCTCAACATTTTGCTATTGTTTTTGAACATTATGATAACTCAAAATATATTGATTTAAGTGCAGTTTCTCCGAATAACTCATTGCTAGCTCCTTTATTTTCATGTAAAATCACCTTAATCGAAGTTTTTAATGCTTTAAATAACTTTAGTTCAAAGTGTGGTCCTGGTCCTGATTGTATTACAAGGTAGTCTTATCAATAATGTAAATTTGTCCTCTCTTCTCCTCTACTTTATATTTTTAATTTATCTTTATCTAGTGGTATTTTTCCTGATAGATTGAAAACAAGTATTATCCTTCCTATTCCTAAGACATCATATGACTTATCGAATATTTCTAATTACAGGCCTATCTCTTTACTTTCAACTGCATCTAAAACATTCGAATCTATTGTGTCGGATATGATAACTCCTGAACTTGACAGAATTATTGTTGACGATCAACATGGTTTTAGACCGTCTAAAACAACTACTACTAATTTACTTACCCTTCAACATTCCATAATTTATGCTTTTTCAGCTGGTTTACGTATGGACGTTGTTGGCGCGGCAAGTGTTTTAAATAATATAGAACATACTTGTTCGCCATAAAATAAATTAAACATAAATTGAATAATAAAAACTGTATAATTGAATAATTAAATAAATATGTGGCCCTACAACGGCGCAACAATAATAATAAATAATTCAAGGGTGTGGCCCACACGAAACAATAAATATACAATTATATATAATAATAATAATGCTCTTGGCGGATA